TTTGTTCGTAGAGTCTTTGGGAGTCGTGTAGGGTCAGTCCAATCGATGCGAATGATAATCACTGCTGTGTCACTTTTTTCAAAACTCCGCTGTAAGGCATAGTCCAGTTCTTGTTTGCAATATTTACTAGAAGCGTAATTGGCCGACCAGACTGCTAAAACTTTGCGGCTCTTGTAGATGCCTTCCACCATGCTTTGTAGAAACGCTTTGCCAAGTTCAAAGTGGATGAAATCCACGCAATATTTCACTTGGTTATGATTAAATAGAGGTAGCAGCTCCTTGTCCACCCAGGAGAAGTCTTTTCTGCTATATGTGAGGAATACATCATACTCGAAGTCTCCTGCGTCCAAATCTGGGGGAGATTTAACTAGGAGGCAAGAAAAAAAAAACGATGAGTATTGGAACAAGAAGAAAAGACGCTAGCTAGCGTTGATTCCGAAGGGGTTTTTCTTCTACAGAGGGGTTGCAAAAAGGACAGCTAAGGTCTGGTAACGGCTAAACGCTTGGTTCACCTGAACAGTGTTCGGGTATCGACATAAAATGGTGTTCTGCTCAGGCCTTGAGTACCCGATAAGTAATTCTCTACACATATACTCAATATCTCCTTATCAGACGCCTATTTGAAATGTGAGAGTAATAGGGAAAAACAAAGAATTGATTGCTCAGGGGCTAAAATAAAAACAAAATACAGTGTGCTCACAGTGCCCGAGTAAAAATACTCGGGCATAAAAGTGGAACGCATCATCTAACATCTGATGTATTTCATTATTGACTTACTTGATTTTGGAGGTCTAGGTCTTGGCCATCTCCATAGCTTCATAGAAACTATTATGGTCGTCACCAATCCAACAAAGAGACCCAGACCAATGAACAGTGTAGTTCCAAGTAAATCTGCTTTCCCCTGGGGCATTTCAGTAGGTTGCTGAATACCGAAACCTGGTTGGGAGCCTGGTTTCCGCGTGACCTTAACACTAACGTTTTTTATGGCAGTACGCTGTTAAAACATCCGCAATAACAAAAGGATATTGTGAAAGCGATAAACTTACCTTGGCTAATTGATTAACATGCCACGATAAATATGAGTTATTATATTACTATTAGTAACAGCATCTTAATATAATTGTTTTATTTTACTTTTTTAAGGTTAGATTAAGAACTAGATTAGTATGTGTAATCAAATGGTGACGAGTGAAATTAGGGAATAATTTTGCGCGCGTTTTGTCCAAATCCTTATAATTTCCCGAGCCTTTAGGCGAGGGAAATTATTAGGATTTGGAAATTATTAGGATTTCGAATTACAACTTTGAATTTGTTCCAAGGGCTTTCTTCATTGCAGGTGCTGTAAAATACGAAGACTCCAGGCACATTGAAAAAAAGAAAAGTGGCCGCCGAAAATGCCTCAGGTTTGCAGCTTTAATTCTCGATGATTAACTCGCTGAAATGGTATTAACTGTTTCTTTCCCGTTTGTTGTTCATTTTACGTGTTTTTAAAACGTTTTACTATAACAAGTTATTGTAGCGTATCGACTTTATTATGCAGTGAAACGACATTGCTGCAGAACGACCGGAACAACTCGCAGAACTTACGTTCAGAAACCACTAGGTCTACTTTCTTTTTTGCGGCATATATTGATTTGTGGTTGACCACTGGTTAAGTAAAATTTATTATTACGTGTGTGTCGGATCGTTTAATAACGCATTTCACGCTTTATGGATTTAGCTACAATTTCCCCATGCATATCTATATATGCATTATAGCGCTGTTTTAGGGGGGCTGCGGCGTTACTTATAGGCAAAATAATTCTGCGGAACGTTTTTAGTGTTTTTTGAAGGGGGAAGCTGTTGATCGTAAAGGTGCCACCCTTATACTGAAAACTGACAAGCCGACAAGAGTGTTTCAGCACAACTCATCAACGCTTATTGACAATATTTTCACAGATAAGAACAGCGAAATAGGGTGTCAGTGGCGTAAGTGGAAATATTGTTTCTGAAATCTTCTTTGTAAAATAAATTGAATAAACTAACCACATGTGTATTAGCCACTTAAATCTTTTATTGATAAACAGGACATAGTTTATTTTAAGTTGTGTTTTTTCTTGGTAAAAACACAAATTAAAACTGATGAATCTCAACACAAACTTTTGGACTTTGACAGGGATCCACAAACGAAAGTATTAAAATGTTAAATGTTAAAATGGAGATATAGTTTCAAGTTTATTTTATTGAGTTCGCCTTGAGCTGCACTTATGAGCAATGAATAAAAAAACCATAATCTATCAAATTTATCTTAATTCCTCGGCTTAAGTTTGAATTTTAGAGAGATTAAGCATCGCGTTTAAGGCAAACGGCAAACGTGAATTTGTACCACGTGAACAAGTTTCCCCTTTACTTGTCGTTTACTGTTCATTATAACTACCCGGTACACGAAAGTCAATAGATTTACGCCAATTCTATCCAAAAGAATTGTTTTACGCTGTCTTTATCTGCTCATTTCTCATTTTGAAAATTTGTCTACTTGAATCTCACGCTTGCCGCGATGCTTAATCTCTCTATTACTCCATATCATGCATGCCACACTGTACGCGGAAACAGATGCCTTTTGATGGCTTACCATGGCTTTCCTTATATTAAGCGAACATAAACATGGCAGCACGATGTTCCTCCATTGTTGCCTTCAAGGCTATTCGCCAAATCTGGGCCGTACCACAAACGGAGTTCCTGTCCTCCAGCCACGTTTGGAGGATTGGAGACAGCCCACAACACCAGCTCTGGAGAAAGCGAGTTGTAACCAGGAATCGAAGACCGCTTGAGTCCCAATCCAGTGAAGAACTCGTTTGAGGGGAAAAGAATGTTATCAGCCGAGGTTGTTATTACAACGTTTACGTCTTCAGGGTAGTGGCCGCAGCCCCAAAAGGACCAATAGGCGCGATTTCTTTTATCGCATGTAACATAACCATACAAGTGGACCAGTCTTACTGATGCCAGTTTGCCGCTAGATGGAACAACAAAGCTGCCAAACGAGTTGTCTCTCGCACCAAAACATATTGGAGAGGTATTCATTTTGATCCAAGGAACTGAAAGAAAAAATTTTTTCAATTTAGTAACTCGAATAGACCTTATTCACGATATCAGCAAGCTCTTATATAATAAGGTCTGATGGGAGAAAACGATGTTACGCGGTTTCTCAGGGGGCAACTGAACCATTCTGCCACTCTCTGCCAATATAAAAAATAGCGACCGGCTTAGTTTGTTGTGAACGACCAAAAGTGAAGAACGTTTTACCGTAAAGATGATAATGGAAAATTATTCAGTGGAAGTGATCCTTGTTACTCTCCTTAGGTACAGTATCGACCGTAGATGTCCTCACATCAAGCAATACTAACTCGAGCTGCACATTATGCAAGAAGAATAAACAAAGCCGACCGCAATTACTCGTATTGGCACATTTTATCACTTGTTTCCCCCCTGAAATTCCACGCACCTGTAGCAAAGATGGCGGGAGTGGTGAACGAGGTCTATTAGCGTCTTAACCGTTTGACCAATCAGCGGCTTTGAGAGTTACATTACTTGCAAAAAATTTCGGACGATTTTAATATGACTTGGGAAGAAATGTCCTCTACCGCATGGAAATTAAGAGAAGGCAAGAAGATGGCAGTCAGAATTGCTACGAATGAGAAGATACCCGTGGCTCCTGGACTTTTGAAGGAAGCGAACCTGTCATTTCAGCGAAAGATCAAAACACTGCAAGCCATGCACCGTGTGTCAGAAGATCTGATTCTCAGTTTAGACCAAACCCTATTGTCCTATGTCTGTTCAGCTTGTCATACTCTCCATGAAAAAGGGGCAAAAAGTGTGCCACTTGTAGGAAAGGGCAAAAAGAAGCAGATTACAGCAACGTTCACGGTTACAATGTCAGGTCTTTTTCTCCCGATGCAGCTAATTTATGAGGGTAAGACCCCGCGATGCCTTCCACAAGGAATCTCGTTTCCGGATAACTTTAACTTGACTTTCACTCCAAACCATTGGAGCAATGAAGACAAAGTTATGGAGCCCTTGGAGAAGGTTGTTTTTCCGTTTATCGTGGAGAAACGCAAAGAACTTTCCCTTCCTGATGGGCAGAAGGCTATCCTAGTAGTTGACGTGTTCAAAGGACAGAAGACGGAACGTGTTCAGCACCTTATTGCTAATAACAACTGCGTTTGCGTTTTCGTTCCTGCCAATATGGCCAACTATTTCCGGCCGCTCGACTTGACAGTAAATGGTCCTGCCAATCAATTTTTGAAAGGAAAGTTTCAGGAGTGGTATGCAAGAGAAATCGCAAAGCAAGTCGACAAAGGTATTGATGTATACTCCATTGATGTCAACACTAAGTTATCTGTAATGAAGCCGATTCACGCCCGCTGGCTTGTTGGCTTGTACGACCACCTCCAAAACAAACCCGAAGTGATAAGGAAGGGTTTTGAGATGGCAGGAATAGTGGCAGCTGTCACAGACGATCCTTTTGAAGATCTTGTCGCAGATCATTGAGCCACTTTAAGCTCCAAAGCCCTTAGTTTCCTTTTTGAAGCGAATTCTAGTTGAAACACTGCATGAGATTACGACTTGATAGAATTTGTGTTATTTTCTCGGCGGACGGTGTATCTGTAAAACCTTGAGGATGCAGTAAAATTATCAATTTCACAGATGTTGTTTCAGTCTATATTCATGTTTTATAGGCATAAATCTACTTACGCCGTGTTTCAGCAAAGTTTCCGAAATTTTGGTCCAAAATATGTCCGAAATGAGATAAAAGTGTCCGAAAATTAAACGTCCGAAATAAAACGTCCGAAATTTTAACGTCCGAAAATTTTGGAAAGTGATGTAGCGTATCTACCGGTATTTTTAATCGTCGATTTTCACACGTGCCTAATTTGATTTGAGAGGTAACTGCTTTGGGATGGAACGACTGAATCAACTAAATTCGACAGTTTTAAATCAAATACGACTTTATTCGACTTAGGTTCAACCGTTGATTTAGATAGAAGTCGCATTTCACTGTGCCGAATATAATACATTTATTGTAGAAACCCTTATCCATATTGGATAAGAAAAATTTATAGAGACTGGGAATATTTACAACAAACGGAGTTTAATTCGGCACCATCATATCCGGCGTCTGAATCAACTGCCGTATTTAATTGTGCCTTAATTACTTTCATCGCCAAAAATAGGTGTTCGGCGCTCATAAGAAATTCCACGTTTGAAAGGGGCCTAACAAGGACAGGCGTTAACTGCATGTGGATCATCAATAATTCGTTGGACACTATCCGTGCACTGGAGGAAAAACAGCTTTCCCTAAATCATGTGAGTACTTGGGACTTTTCGACTCTTTATACTAGCCTTCCACACGCCCAACTTAAAAAGCAACTCCAATACTAAAGGAAAGAGCTTCATTGCTGCCAATAATTTTCGCACCTTCTGGACGAATGATAGGACGTCAACGAAGAACATGCACGTACTTCTCCTGTAGAGAGCTTTGTCTCGCTATTGAATTTCTTATCGACAACATCTACGTTCGTTTTGGAAGCTCTGTTTACCTTCGAGTACGATTTCATGGTCAAAACAATGAAACAGGATATTACAAAAGCCATCCAATTCAGCAACACCTTTCGGTACATCGACGATTTATTCAGTGTTAACAATGTGGACTTTAGAAATTACATCAGCGCAATTTACTCGTCGGAATTGGAACTTAAGGACACCTCCACATCATCTACTGAAGTGTGTTACCTCGACACTAATATCAAGACTGGCGACAACACACCTTTCCGTATCAGCATCTACGATAAGAGAGAGGACTTTGCATTTCGGATTGTCAACTTTCCTCATATGGACAGCAACATTCCCGCCCATCCAGCTTACGGTGTTTATATATCTCAACTGGTGAGATATGCTAGAATTTGCACGTCCAAAGTTGACTTCATAGACAGACTCCGTGGACTTTCATTACGTCTCAGACAGCAAGGCTTTGAAACCAGTCTACTTCAGAAATCATTTAATAAATTCTTCAGTCGCCATATGCATGGTCTCATCGTCGAGAAGTATGGTGCAGCCCTGCGGGAGATGAGATTAGCAATCTAGGTTTGAATTGCACCATCGTATTCTTACATTACTTATTTAATGCTTACTGTTGTATTTCGGTTGTATCTCGGTACGTGTGCGCGTACAATTTTATTTTGAGCGCGCGCATTATTTGTTTGTCTACTTTGAATTGAATGACTTAAGTTTCAGTTTATTGGTTTCCAGGTTGTTATTAAGTTGTTGTTTTCTTTTCAGTAAGAGCAATTCGTAGCTCTCTCTGTAAATCCATTTTATTAATCGGCTTGTCCCGAGACTTATGAATCAGCTGTAATTGTTGATTTTATTTTCTCTTTCACATGATTTGTATATCACTAGACATGATTTGTATATCAGAAAGAGCGATCAATTTTCATCCATCCATTTCAATAAAAGCAAATTGAATCACTTCTCACTATAGCAGATAACCTCCAACCGTGACTTCGTAGTATAAATGTGCCGCACCGAAGAAAGACGATAAAGCTAACCCTTTTTGGTCATATTATTTCAAGGTTTAAACTCGAGGCTTTATATAGAGTAAAATAGTTATAATTTACTATTAACGGTATATTCATAGTTATGGCCGGCTGCTGCCAGAGCGCTTAGGGGCCCTTTTCAGGGATCCTGTTATTTTTGTGTTCGTTTTGCTACTCATAGGCCTTTGGTGGGGATTTCGGACGTTTTATTTGGGACGTTTAATTTTCGGACACTTTTTATCTCATTTCGGACATATTTCGGACCAAACGTTCGGACACTTTGCTGAAACACGGCGTAAGTAGATTTACGCTTATAAAACATGAATATAGACTGAAACAACATCTCTGAAACTGATAATTTTACTGCATCCTCAAGGTTTAACAGATACACCGTCCGCCGAGAAAATAACACAAATTCTATCAAGTCGTTGCTTAAGCTTCCTAATTTTAGGGCAAGCTCCTCTATACTTCTCAACATGCATTTTCCTTTCCAGTGATATAAAGAACGACTAAAGTCTAATCCGAGTTATAGCTATGTATATCATGTATATTGGCCTTGAATACACGTGATGGCGTCGCCCAAGAAAGTACTTAAACGTTTTATACTGTATTGTAAAAATTTCGGACAGTTTTATTTTCAATTAAAATCGTCCGAAATTTTTTGCAAGTAATCTATGTCGTTTTTTTTTTAGGCTGTTTTGAGGTTAGGGATTTGTTTAGAAGTGGAAGTACTATCTTACCCCTCCCCCTCTTCCTCCCTCCAATTTTTTTTTGTCCTTACCCTCAATTCTCTCTTTAACACAAGTGACAGTTATTTCAGTGAAATCAGTGCTCGCCTAAAGTTTGTTTTGATGCCGTTTAGCAGTTTACTGTTAGATATTGGTCACCTTGAGAAAGTTTCCCGGAGAGCATCATGTAAAGCCCTGGGATAGGACAAAGTTATTACCATTCACAGAGTCTGCATCGTCCAATATCGTATTATATTCTCGGTTCATTTGGCTAAACGGATCAATCACCCTGATCCGGGCTGAGACAGAAAGGTACGACATTGTTCACTTTTCTAAGGTAACCACTAAGTCTTTGGTCTCGGGAACAGGCTCTTAGGAGTGAAATGAATTAGGTGAGAGCAAAATTACAGGTGAACTTTGACCCGGGCCAAGACATTTTTTCTGGTGTGAAAACAAGGCTAAGGTGGTCCGCCGACCGTGTGACTTTACATCCGGGAAATTAAATAAGACGAGTTTAAGAGAAAAGTCCAGAGGTATTTATTTGCCAGTAGGCTGAGTTTTTCCGAAGTTATTCGATGACATTGCGTTTATGTTAAAAGTGACAAGATTATGCGTGGTTGTGGATAGTCTTATCAGCGCCGCGAAAGTGTGTGATTGTGTGATTTCCGCATGGTGTTGACGGGTATGTGATCGCGAGGTTGAACTGCGGTTTCGCCAAAATATTCTGTGCCAGCCATTACTATTATTTCGTCGGTGTTTAGCTTAGCTGATTGTACCTTGGAAAAGCAACTCTCGACTCGGGAAAATTGGATCTAGGCCTAGTTTCAGCGGGTTCTAATGGCTTTGAACCAAAAGGCCGGTTTTTGCAGATACGAAGGTGATAATTTGTGCTCTATGTTTCATTCAGTTTGTTGTCTATTCCATGCGAAATCCTGTTGTTTATCGGACCGCGAAGAAAGTGGTGATTTGCTACAGCCTGTAACTATTTAAGTTGATATGTAAGCTTTAACCAGGCACACTTTCGCTGCAGTTCACTCAACCTAAAAATTTCTAGACTGAAATGACACCGGTCTGAAACTTCGCGAAGTCAGATTACTGAATAAATTTTCTCAAATTTGCGTCATTTTAAATTTGGACTCGTTGGAATGCTTCTAGGGACCATTAACTTACTGCCAGGGGTCAGACAGAGGCTTTTAATCGGCTTTTGAATGAGTTTTATTGTTTTAAATTGCCAAGTAGTAGTAAATGGTTACTATTTTTGCTAACCCCATGTCTTGCTGTTTAATACAGACGTTTCGGCCTTCGGGCTTCTTCAGTGTATTTGCAAAATCCAAACCTGGATAAGTACAAAATTTGGAATAGATATCTATATACATTCAAGGTGATAATAAGGTTACGTAATCCGTTAAAAAAGGTGAGACATACACATTTTGTCATACAGTCTAACCTCTCCTTACGGACACGGACACCTCTATGAAGCGGACACTTTGGTGTCCGTATTCAGAGAGGTTTGACTGTATTAAAAATGAAACGGTAAAAAATAATTGATGAGAGTAGTTGGTAAAAGTTATGTCATTTCCGAAACACAACAGGTTCCCCAATCGGGGTCTCGCAATCAAATCAAAGGGATTAACATAACATAATCCAAGAGGGCACACCTTAAACAAAAAGTAATAAAGGTACAAACTAAAGGCTTATGAATGGAAAACCCTATTGAAGAATAACAGAATCCCCGAAAGGAGCCTCTGAGTGCCATCACAGAACAATAAATTGTTCTATTAAAAACTTACAGTTAATTAAAAAGTAGTAAAAAATGCAAATCAAAGGGTGAGATGTGTCAATTATACTTAATTCTACTCTTGGAATTAAATTCCTATCTTTTGTTAAGGCTATCAGGTTGAAGAGTGAAAAATAGGGAAAACCAAAATGTAAGAAGACGTTTGTGAACATTGTGTTTATCGTCGATATTACAGATTTGCTTAATTACAATGAATTCAAAGTCAAATAATTGATGTTTCTCTTTGTTAAAATGGACAGCAACTTCACAAGTTACATTTTTAGATTTACAGTCAACATGTTGTCTAACATTGTAAAAACGCTTGGTATAACTGCTACGAAAAATTTTACTTTCTCTAAAATAATTTTACATAAATCACATTTGCTATTACATTTGAAACAGCAACTCAGGAAGTGTATCATTATTTGACAATGTGTAATTGGAACCTTTAGGACCAGCCAAAAGCTCTTTGATGTTTTTGGACCTTCTAAAAGATGGGATAATGGAACCCTGGGGAAAATCTGTGATAATGTGGGTGAGCTGTAGATACCGGATGGCTATAGTTACTAATAGTTTTGTTGATGTTGGGTACATGTGGGTTAAAATCTGTAACGAATGGAAACATGATCCTGTGTTTTTGATGTGAGGAGGTCCCTTCTTGGAATCTCTTTATAGCTTTGTCAAATTGTTTTTTAACCTGATGGAGTAGATATTTCCCTTTTATATACTTCATCTTTGCTCAAATTTCTGTTCAGTGGAACTATTTCTGCGTATCCTGGTAGCAACTCCAAAGGGGATAACTTTGGTGCAATGGGTGGGCTGAGCGCTACTGCGTAGAAGATACGTATGATTTGTTATATACGTAACCTGTGTAGTACCGAGAAATTCTGTATTCTATTTAAACGGGACATGGCAACACTTAACAAGCGTAACGAACTTATTTCAACTTGTAGGCACAAGCGGAAGTTCCTCCTTAAATTCAATTGCACTCCTAAGGACCAATCGTAGACCTTATTTACGATACCCACTATCTTTGCACGCCCTTAAGGTGACTTTTTGGATTAAAAGCCATGTCACGTTTTTTTCCTAGGGGGAAAAAACTAAATCGCGGCAAAGTTTGTTTATTCTGGACAACAAAAAAATGAAGAACTTTTTATCTTGAATGGTACGGAGCCGAGTACTGAAGTACCATGCAAATTTTGTGTTCGATTTTTCCTTTCTCGACTTTTTTCTCGGACTTTTTTCCTGACCTTTTTCCTCCGACTGTTTTCCCGACTTTTCCCCAGACTTTTTTCTCGACTTTTTTCCCGACTTTTTTCTCGACTTCTTTCCCCACTTTTTTCTCCACCTTTCTCTCGAATTTTTTCTTAGCCTGCGTAGCAAGCGCTTGGAACTTGTGGGCGCAAGAAAAAACGGGCGCGCAAGAAGGAGACACTTCCTCGCGCGCGCCTGTTCTCTCTTTCGCCCACCACTTCCAAGCGCCTGCTACGCAGGCTACTTTTTCCTCGACATTTTTCCCGACTTTTCCCCCGACTTTTTTCTCAACCTTTTTCTCGACTTTTTTCTCGACTTTTTCTCGACTTTTTTTCAACTCCTTTCACCGCGTATCACATACATCAAAGGCTCATTCATACTTCGAAATGCTTACACTGGCCACGTTTCATTCCTGGCTTTTTACTGAGCTATTTTATTTATCGCTGAAAACGTAATGTCGTGCAGTTTTACCTCCATACCTTCCTATCTTACAACAAAGCAATGTCTTGTGAATGTCAGATAAGAAAAATGAAAACTGTTTCAGTCTCAAAATGTTCAGGATGAAATAATTAAACAAAGTGTGCACGGTGGTAATTAGCTTGTAACTTCATCTACCCGATGCACCGCGGCCGCTTAATCTGCTACCGCTTCATAAACTCAAACCCAAACACCCTAAACATATTAGCTCAAACACACTTCTGTTCTAGTTTCCAAATTAAAAATTCGTTTCTTTTCACACTTGACATTCTTGCCCTTTTTATCTCTGATAATCCTCATTTATGCTTTCGTCTTTTGTTCGACCTATAAATCACTGGTACCGTTTTGTGATGGCAATGAGCAGTTTTCTCTTGGCATCATAAAATAATAACACTTCATCTCCGAGCCTGACAAAACAAATCTTTTGGAGAATCATGGGTAATTTTAAACAGGATTAAAAGCGAAAATCTAAAGGTCGTTTTACCTAGGTATTATGCCCCCCTACTTTCTCCCCACTATGGATGCAGACCCTTACGGCTCTTACGGGTTCGGATCCCCTCCCTCCCCCCAACCCTGACTTGTACTACCACACGCAGTGCTATCTCTATGCATCGACAACAACCTCTTGAGGGTCACTACGGTTTCCTCGCCCCCTAAGACCACGAAAAATAAGAATACTCTTCAAATTTCATATGCTTTATGTAAAAATCTTGGGTTAACCCCGACAAGCAGCAAGATCTCTTTGTTAAAATTCATTCCCAAATGGTAGTAACTCTCAATAACATTTCCTGGCTCAACATTGCCTTGTTGTAAAATAGGAAGGAAGGGAGGTCAAACTGCACAACATTACATTTTTAGTAATAAAAAACAATGCCAAGAATGAAACGTGGCAGTGTCTCAGATGTCTAAGCAAAAAAGAGCCTTTAGTGTATGTGATCAGCGGTGAAACGAGCTGAAAAAAAAAAGTCGAGAAAAAAGTCGGGAAAATAGTGAGAAAAAAGTCGGGGTGAAAACCTAAAGGCGAGAAAAAGTCCAGAAAGACAAAATCGCGCACAAAATTTGCATGGCCCCTACTAGGCTCCATAAAAATGGCAAATTATGGATGAAAGTGATCATTACTACTTTTTTGTAAGCAGTTTACGTAGCGACCTTCGTGTAACAGCAAGCAATAATGACGTACGTAAAACTTGTCGAAACTCGAACTGTACATTACTAAATTTCTGTACATTTTATCACTTGTTTGTCCCCTGAAATACCACGAGACATTGCTGTTATCCAATCAATTATAAAGCAGGTGCCAGAAGATGGCGGGAATTAGCGTCTTGACCGTTTGACCTAAAAAGCGTGATGTACGTGTAAATTTGTTGTTTTGCCAGTTCAGATAGCAGAGCTGTCAAGCGCGTGAAGCGGAGGACCATGGGTAAGAAAATTTGGTTATCTATGCATCCGAGAAATTTTGCTAGTGACTTGTAGTCACTTGACCGTAGGCCCGTCCGCACCACAGGCATACCACAAGCATACCAATGTAAAATAACACATAAAATTGAAGGCACGACTGATCAGACAGCTAAGGGTTGGTAATTTACAAATTTATTTGCCCAATATTTCGACTAGACAAAACTAGTCTTCATCAGGGGCTAGTAAAAAAGAACTCAATTAACAGATATAGCAACCCAAATGCAACTCGAGATTTTTTGGTGGGAAATCACATAGCCACTCGTGTACTGTGAAGCAGAGACAATTATTATAAAGAGTCAATAAAGACGAAAACGGAATTGAAATTGTTTCTGTATCCGTGTTGTCCTAAGTATTAAGCTTAGACATGTTAGACGAATTATCATGTCCACAAATTTTGAATATAGAGGAAAGAGGAAGACAGGGAAAAAGAGAAAGTAGGCGAAAGGTCAGCAAAGCTCAACGAGAAAAAGAGCGACAGAGAGCTAGAGCGAGAGATAAAAAACAAGGGAGCAAATTTTGTTGGAAGAACAACATGAAAAGTTTGAAGCGGTGGTGAGAAAATTAGAAATGCTAGCCGGGCCACCAAGGTGAAAATGAGCAGCAGTGAAAAAAGAAAATTGAACAAGAACACGTACGACATTTCCTCCATAAAACGTGTGAAGGAAGTTTCTGGAAGTTTCACGTTGTAGTCTTGCAAAAGAACGGCAAAAAAATGTACCAAAAAGTGTGCTGCACTTGCAAAGTTGTTATTTTTGCTAATTAGATCTATTCTTGTTTTTCCACCGTTCTCGTTGCCTTCGCCGCTTAGCATTACACGATTTTATACTTTGTTTGAGCCAAGTATAATATTAACGAGAGCTTCGCTTTTAGCTATGGCCAAATCTATATATTATCTATTGCTTTTCTGTCGTTCTCGTTGCCGTCGCCGTCGTCGTTGCTTAAGCTTCCTAATTTTAGGGCAAGCTCCTCTATACTTCTCAACATGCATTGGCGTACGTGTGTCCAACATTGTAAGTGTGGTAGGGCTAGTTGGGCAACGGTGTAGGTTCTAACCTGCGAGCAAGCTCTCCCCCGCAGAGCGCCCAGGGAGAGCTTGCTTGTCGGCTATGTAGGGTCATTTGCGCGTAACAGTTTGCTTGGCGTGTGTCAAAAAAGGAGTGCCACAATAGCAAATGTAAGACGACGTTTGTCGGTCCCAGTTTACCCAAAGTTAAGACTTCAGTTGGTAGAATTATCGCCATACTTTCCCTTTCGGATGAAATGTAACGAGTTCACCTTGGTTTTTCAAGCAAATCGGTCACATAAAGAGGACAAAGAGTGCCACTTGCTCGCACCTTCACAGAACTTCATTGCGATGTTCTAGCACTGAACTTTCAGTCTTCATTGTTAATGGCTATTGCATAAGATTGACCCCACGGTGTTTTCCGAAAAGGGAAAACCAGTTTGGTTACAATGTTAACTCTTTTATTTTTGGAAATGAACCTATACCCTACCTTCAACAGTTTGGTTTCCTTTCGTAGCGCAAATTTCAAAGTCCTTTATTTCATGTGTTAACCCCATGGTCTCATTTTGTATCTCCTGTTTAAACTTTTTAGTTTGGTTTACTTCTGAATCCTTTATTTCTCGTTTTAACTCTTGGGTCTGCTGTTGTAACTCCTGTCCAAGCTCTTTGGTTTGGTTTTCTCTTGAAGACCATATTTCTCCTTTTAACTTCAGCATCTGATTTCCTATCTTCGTTTCCAACAATTTGCGCTCTTCAGTTTGATTTGATGATACTTGGTCTATGATCTTCGCGACCATACCGTTAAGAAGCCTTTCAACCTGTTTCAGCTGTTCTTTCATGCCATCAAGAGCACGGCCATCTTGACAACCTGTGTAATTGATAAATTACAAATTAAAGGACCTTAATTTGATTTTAATTATTTAACTGAACTAAACTTTTCAAATTCCAATTCGATACGAGACATATAATGAATAATTATTCCTCGAACGCGCTTTGTAAATGAGATGATTGGTACATAACAAATAGCCTGAGGCTATGTTTACACTTTACCGCTGATACCGGACAGCTTTTCCGCCGAAACGAAAACCATTCCAGATAGGGTGATTTCGGCGCAATTTCTGTAACGGAGCGAAACTGTGCCGTGCCGATCTCTAAAGTGGAGAGTTACATATCGGATAGGTGTTCATACTATAGCGGATAGCTTTTCATGTCAGTGTCATGTCAGCACAAAAAGCCATCTGGTACAGTGTGAACCCGGCCAGTGAATTTCAGCCGCCTCCTCCTCTCTTTCAGGAGGGTGCGACTCACGCTTTTCACACTTTATATCGAAAGAAACTGTCTCATCTCGGCTTACGTACTATTCTGAATGAATGAAACGCGTACAACAAGACTCTCGGTATGTTGAAAAAGTAAATTTAGACAAGGCAAAGCTGTACCGCCAAAGTTATTTTTGAGTATTTGGTGCCAAGGAAAACGGCATCGGGGCCTGGCGCTTGTTAGACAGTTCAAAGTCCCCTATTTTTCTGTACGACCGTCGAGATCGAGCGCTTTGCCTTGGTGGAGGGCGGGCGTCGGGGTTTATAGGGGGTAGCGGGAGGGAGGTTACCCTGCGAGCAGAGTCTTCTTCGATCTTCCTAGAAAATATTGGGAAGATGAAGGCGTCTCCTTCCTCTGTCATATGTCATACTGTCATAACTTCACTGCAGCTCGCGTTTCAGGAAACGTGTCGTTCCAGCAACGCAAGCATCCGATTGGTCATAAGACAATAGATGATAATTTGTGCTTACAACGGGTTAGTTTTAAGTTGTCGACAAGTCGTTGACAAGTCGTTGTTTCTATAATAAAATAATAAAACGCTTTCATGATAATCATGATGGCCGTTCGCCTAACTTAACTTTCGTGTTATTTTGGATCTTTATCATTTTGAGCCGATGAAACTGGGGAAGGAATTTATTTCAGTTTGGCGTGAAGTAGGGCAGACTCTTCTGGACATTTCATAGAGGAGGGTTTTTTTTAGAACGGGGTGCCAATTTGGAGTCCCGGGCGGCACATACCCACCCAAAAAATACCCAAGTACCCCCCCCCCCCCCCCC